AGGCAAAGAAGTGATGCCTGGTTGGAAAAATGTTGTCCCATTTAAGTGTGTATATATCAAAAGGTACACACACAAAAAAGTGCATGCTGATTATTCATCATACATAAAAAAAAGTGATTTAAAAGGACAATGGAAATGAAAAATGATGTAAAGTGTAAGTTAGAGTCCTGAGCTTCTGGTAGCATTGCCCTTTAATACACAAAATAACACACACTCAAATATTTCATTAGGATGCAAGAACGCCCACCCACAGCCCATTTTCACTGGTAATGCTGTAGAGCAGCTGACATGGAAAATTATACAATGACCGCATGTGATCTGTTCCTAGAGCAATGGATGCTGGGAAAAGGAGCATTGGTTAAATGGATATGGCAGAAGACACCAATGAGACGAAAAGCCTATTCTTACCTCTGGTAATCCCTGGTTTACATCCTGAGAAAATGCAGTAGAAGGAAAGCGCTTGTTAGTACCCATGTTCCCAATGCAATTTAAACGCACACTAGCTAAAATGAAAAATTCCACAAAACAGCTAAATCTGGAAGCCTACAACGTTGTGCACTGTTACAAACCCAAGCAATAGACTACATATGTAGTGACTGAAATGAGTACAGCATGTCTCTGTTACTCTGCAGGTGCCTGATGCTAGACTCTTATCCAACTCTATGGACTTTAGCAAGGAACTGACATTGTATACCTGAATTCAAGACATTATTTTCATATGCTAAAATAACACAAATCAGTGCTTAAAAACACCTTTAAAGCCCAAATGAACCCACAAAATGTATTACTATAAAGCAGCCATGCTCTAAATAAGTAATACATCTGGTCTCTTACTTTTTAAAAGGAGAACTATGGGGTCAGGGCTTTTCCCCATAGTTCTCCTTAGGGTAACGGGAGGACACAAACTAGCGTCCTCCCGTTACCCTAAGCTCAGTATACCGCGAGCTACAGCTCGCGGTATACTGAAGCGCCGGAGCGGATCCCGACATCGATGTCGAGATCCGCCCAGCTGCGTGAGCGACAGCTAGCTCTGCCTGTCTAGAGGCAGAGCCAGCTGTACCCGCCCCCTCCCCCGTCCGTTCCGCCAGTCAGTGCTGGCGGATCGGAACGGGTAGGGGGGAATCCAGCCCCTCCCCCTGTCACGGAAGAGAGCCGTGACAGGATCGAGAGGTGAGCGAACGCCGGTATCTGTTCGCTCACCTCCCGATCTACTGAGCCGACCTGTGACAGTCTCATTGTCACAGGTCGGCTGGAACTATGAGGTGAGTGGAAATCACTCATCTCCTTTAACTGGTAAGTTCTGTAGCAAGGGTTAAAACACACTGAGGGAAATTTATCAAAACTGGAGCAGACAAAATCTGGAGCAGATTTGCACTGCAACCAATCAGCTTCTCATTTTCAAATCTTACCCGAGAAAACTGGAGAGCTGCTGATTGGTTGCCACTGGCAACTGCTCCACATTCTGTCTGCTCCAGTTATGACAAATTCCCCCCACTGTGTTGCAGCAATCTAGAGAGTCAGTCTCCTGCATTTTGACACAACCCCTTCCTGAACAGTGGATTAACAAACAGTTCTGCTCAGCCTGCAAGAGTGATGTATTGTCCGCGGAATTCTGGACTGCGGAAGAGTCAGACTGCCGCTTTCAGTGAGAGGGTATTTTAAACCGTGATATTAT